GCTATAAACAAATAAAACAAAAACTTTTTAACTTTAACTTACTACAAATTAGTCCATGTTTAGAATGTATTCTGACGGACTTGGTGTCGCTGATTATGTTCACTTACGTAACTTTGCAGTTTAATATGTACACATCTCTAACTTCAGAGGCCACTTCTGTTATCTCAATGCGTGGCCAAAGATCTAACTGATCTACTGTAAGATGTATTCATCATAATCGCGAAAAGCTCTGTGTAATCTCGTCACAAGGCTCGTGATTGAAAATACTCAGGCTTTACGGTTTGACGAATGAAAATTACGCTTACATCATCTAACATCCCTATCGTAAGGTGTAAATGGATAGATCTATTATAAGGTGATATCAATCCTGATTGCTCTGTTTCCAGACGGATTTATGTAACATATTTTCCATTATTGGGCGAATTAGGAAAATGTCACAAAATTTAAGGGTTTTTAAAGTTGGTGCATGTTTATGAAGGCAGATGGACGGTATATATGTTTCATGACCATTCGAGAATTTTTCACTCGTGTAAAGACGTCACCATATACCGATGAAGGGCTTCAAATTTTGACCTTTACTCGGCACTAAGGGCTATTGAGCAGTGAGGGTTCTTTTTCGTGCCAACGCCCGCCATGACACGGGACATCGGATTTTAAGGTCTCATCCGAAGGACCCGCAACTTTCAATTCAAGTGCCGAGCGCATTGCGAAGGAACAGTTGCTACCTGATTTTTTTTAATCGAATATGTCAGTGTCGGCCGTGATTCGAATTCTCGACACGAGTGCTCTACGACTGAGCTACCATGAACGTTATGAACGGTGCATGCTTATAAAAGTGGTTAGCTGAAATTGAATTTTGACTTATTTTATCATTGATAAAATTCTTTTAAACAATTATTTCCGAGAAAAAAATCAAACAAGAGACCGACGGGCCTTACAGGTCACCTGAGTATCATGGAACAAGTATTTCAACTAAGTGTAACCGAATTGTTGAAGAAAGAAATGAACACCTTTATCTAAAGAAACTTGAATTACAATAGGATTATGTAAGCAACTTGCTTTATTTTCATGTAATAATTCTGTCCCATTATTATGCCATCAATGCATTTACATACGATATTCATATAGAAAACTTCCAATAGAATTTCAGAAAGGACATCATTCCACCAAATCCACGAGAAAAGTTTTCATCAGGAAACAGTTTTTTTTTTGTTTTTTTTTTAATATGGTTAATTGGCTTGTCCAACATAAAGAAAACAATATCCTGACACAATAACATATTTTCTCTGTTCTTTTGCCAGTTTCATCTTTTGACCTCTCGGATATCTTAACTACTCACCAGACATACCACAGAAATAACAATTTCCCCTAGGTTTCCACTGATTCAAACTACCCCGAGGCTAATGTTGAAAATGTAGGAATTCTGGCGAGGTACATTTTTTTTTTCAAAAATATATCTTATATCAATGGGTTTTTTTTTAAATTAAAATAACGACATAAAATTAATATCTTTTAGTCTTCTTTTGCACTTCTCATATATTTATTAAAAAGCCGATGATATAGGAGTCAAAGGTAATTAATATATATAGATAAATTACAGTGAAGTCGGAGTAACATATTTGCCCCGCTCGGCTCTTGATTGCCTCTCTATATTTCTTCAAACAATGAAGTTAATAATGCCAGTTCCAGTTATTGTTCTCTAGGGAATGAGGCATTTACAATAAATAATTTTTTATTGATTTTATTCTATAAGAATGCGGCATTTACAATAACATTAATTGTAGATCTTTTATTTGATGGTCATTGGTTTATTCCATCTGTTTGTGGTATGGTCTTCCAAAGGAAGTCAGGATATTAAAATGACAAGCTGTCGAAAGTTGCCAAAATGGTTCATAATTTGTCCATATAACACTAAGAGTCTTTTGTAACACTTTTCAAAATAAAATACGACCTTTTTTCTTAAGCACATCAATTGTGAATATATACTTAAAATGTTAAACTGCTTGGATTGTAATTAGGGCCCCGCAAGGATTTGCGGGTGCCCTGTAGTAATCACTCTGTCTGTCTGTCTGTCCGTCTGTCATTCTTCCGTCCACAAATTTTCTGCTTTTTCCTAATAACTTTTTTATGGTAGCCCAATTAAGTTCCAATTTGGTATGGTAGTTCAGTAGGCAAAAATACATATTTTGATGCTAAGTTTGTTTCTCTATGCCCTCTGGTTTGGAGCTGAGGTGGTGGGGTAGATTTCTTAACTTTATATAAGAATGAATTGGCAAAGAGAGATAACTTCTGAAAATGTTCCCATTGTAAACTGAATACTGCAATGAATGAGTCCCTTGGGATTAATTAGCTTTCCTCCTAGAAGAAAATCCAAAGCATTATCTGTCACATTGAGATTAATTACCACCTCTGTCTGCAAATGAAGTTTGTTTTGAACTTAAGCCAATTTGGAATGCTATGTGGATTGAAGTATAAATGTTTTTACTTTATTTTTGTTGAAATACCCTACACAATGAGTTCTGATTTCATTGAATTCTAAAAACAAGAAATAGATTAAAGAAGTTATATATTTTTTTAATTTATTTATTCATATTTTTTTTTACTTATGAAAATTAAAGAATATTATACATTTTTTAAGGTAGTAGGATAAAAACCTCATTCTATCATTACTGAAAATGTTCTTATTATAAATTAAGAAGAAATTGATGAGAGAGAAGTACAATTAATCCCTTGGGATTAATTATCTAGTCTGCTGCAGAAAATTTAGAAGGCTTATCTTTATCTGCCACTTTAAGATTAATGAAAACCATTCTCTGCAACCTGCAACTGCTGTTTGTTTTGAAGTTAAGGTCAAGTCTTCATGATTTGTATTTGCATTTATTGAAGCCTGGCATTTTATATAACACAAGCTTCGATTTATTGCTTAGATATACATTCAGTGTTGAGTTGTTCTCTACTGCCTTATGTAAATACAAGGATATTATTTACAGGTTTTTGGAAATTCAGGAATTATCTTGAAATTTTAAGAATACAGTTGCTGTTTCTTATTCATCATATATTTTTAATCAAATTCCATAAGCTGCACTTTTATTGAGCGTTTAAGTCCTAGGACTTAATACAAGAAAAAAGGATCTGTTGAATTGATTTTTTTTTTACCAAAAAAAGATTCTTTATAGGATACATGTACTTTAATTGTCTGAACTCTAATAACTCCTAACAACTTTCAAGATGCATTCTTAAAATTTAATTTTGTAAACCAAATTTGGATATATAAGAAATGTGCGGAAGTATGTTCAGGTAATGCTTGTGTCTTAAAAAGGGCAAAGGTTGGTTAAACTCTGTAACTACACCTAAAGAGATAATAAATTTACTGCTCCTCAAAGCTACAAAAATAATTCTACTAGCCCTGTAATTATGTACATGAATGTACATTTCAAAAGCCACACTGATGTATAACGCATGTGACCGATAAGGCCATTAGGCTACTAGCTTACACAATTCTCTATTTCACACGGAAAACATGAATTTTATTGAGTTTGATTAAAATGTTAAAAAAAAAACTAATTTGCCAGTGACAGGTAGAAATTTGAATCAATCTTAGAACGTTATCGGAATATTCAACAATTTTAATACGACAATTGCTTGTAAATGTGTGCTATATTGTCGGCAAATGGTCGAAGAGCGCTATACCCCTATAACAATCCAGATATTTTTCATCATCAAATTTTTCGATACTCTATGGAATATTATCATTGCTAGCGATTTGAACTGAGTAAAATTGATCGATACAACGTTACGTCCGTTTCTTTACATCGGTATATATGTTATGTGGAAATCAAAATGACCAATCCATTAACCTGAATTGATAAATATTGTCCTGTACAAATATCAATAACCACTATTCTCAGGGTAGCGAAAACCTGTATTAAACTTTTACAACACCTAATACATAATGCATTTATAATTAATAGTTGTTATTTAATATGAACAATGACTGAAAGCAATTTATTTTAAAGAAGGGACAGATCTAGAGGCAGGGTAAGCCTGGTGTTGTTTATTCTTTTATTACAGTTATTACATTACGAAGATAAATAATTTTTTACCTTGTAGTAGTATAAGTTTTGTCTATTCGGGAATCCTAGTGTTAGAAAAAAATGAAATGAATATATCAGATATAATTTAAGCTATGGGAAAAGCGTTCATGCCATTCGCCAATAATGATGCAAAAACTAAATATATTTAAAATGGCGTATTGAAATAATAAAGTGTAAAACGAAATAAAGCTTGATTTAATTGATAATTTTTTTCGAGAAATATCATAAGGTGATTAACACATGTTGCACAACTACTATGTTGTATAAAAAAATAGAACTCTTTTTCTGCCAATCATTTAAATATTTGGGTTTCAAAGCTAGGGGAAAAGTTTCGTTGAATGTTAAAACGTTTTGGTTGAAATTTTAAAGCTTCATTTAATATTGAATTTTTTTTTCATTTCCAATGCCAATTCCAGCCAATGCAAAAGAGAGTTTATATCTTTATAGGTCAACATCATTTCTGCTACTTGTACCAAACTCACAGAGCAAATCAACGAAACAGCAAGGAAAACAAACAGTTCAACTTTACAAATGGAGATTTGGAAAATGAAATTAATATTAATTTTTTTCCTTAGCACTGTTTTGCAGTGTTTCAGTATATCGTCTGATTACACACTTCTACCACCGACTAATAATGGGATAAATATGACCAATCTGTTAAGACATTATATAAATGTCTGTGGCTTTGGCTATCTGTGTGACGACACAATAGATGATCACTCTAAATACGTCACAAAGGCCAGATTCCCGAACTGTCCACCATGTTACTGTGACGACACGTGTTATTTTAACGGAAACTGTTGCCCGGACAAGTATTTCTATGAGTACCAATCAAATCAAAATACTAGGGTTTATTCTTCTCTCAGGTCCGTATTATTTTTTAAGCCATACCACAAAGAACAACAAATGACGATGAAGTTGATTGATAAATGTCCACCTGTTACATCGTTGAGCCAACGCAAGAAGTGCGAAAAAGCCAGAACCCCCTTAGAACGTGTTTTCGCCCCACCCTCTACCTCTTTAACAAGTAAACTGGTCTACTGGAACAAGTTTTGTGCTTTATGTCACGGAGAACGTGAAATCAAGCTCCATTTTTGGAAGATTGCTTTCACCCAGAGCTGCAATATATCCATCTTCTATGTCCCGTCCTGGGAAGAAGTTCTTGAAATCGTCAAATCAGATTTCAAAACTTGTCTGATGGGCCACATACCTCCAAGTATGGATGGTCAAGAATTACCTCTGGATAATCTTGTTACAAAGTGCAGCTTGAATTTTAATGATACAGACATAATGAAAGGTTGTTCGTCAATGTATAATTTGAAATACAGAAACTATAAAAATATTTTCTGTGCCATGTGTGTTCCATTTGAGGAAAATGACGATACCTCGGTTATTTCATCTTGCAATCCACAGTCTTCCTCCTATTTAGGTATGTCAAAGTCAGAATTTTACATACTAGAGAAACGTTGCAATAATTCAGGAATTTATCCACTTACTTACCCCTATCAAAATGTATTTTGTTATCTTTGTAATATGCGAGTTTCACAGAGGCCACGAGGCAATGCTAACATCGTGTATTATGCTGATATTAAGGCGGATGTCGGAGAAGTTATCAGTTTTGAGAAAATCAATGCGTACAACATTTATTTCCAGAAAATAAAACTGGGTGATTTTGAGTGGACGGAAGATTACATACGTGATGTTGTTATGAAAGTAGATTTTAACATTTTCAAGGACCATGACGCTGCAACCGCTTTAAATATGACGCGGCTAGCAAAGTTATTCGTTGCCACCACTACAGACTGCCCTGGGCTTGACACAGATTCTGGCTTGAACAATGATTTACAGGTCATTCGTCCATGTGAAAATAACACACGATGTTTGTTTGGAAGAGCTGATTATTGCTGTTTAGAGATGTTTGTAAAAACGCCTGTAAGCTGTATACCTTCGGGGAGTGAGGATAAAAGTTACCTTGTTATCAACGACTGTATCGTGGAGAAATTCAACCCACGAGATCGGAGAGACCGATCCAAAGATTTTGCACAAAAACATCTTTGCAGAAAAGAAATAAATTTCCCCATCGAATTCGATGGAAAATCCTACAAAAATATTTTCTGCTTTTTATGTACAGAGGGCAAATGGAACATTCAGACGGCTAATCTATGGTCCTTTGCTCTGAAGTGTCCGAAAGAAATTCCATTGTTATACTACGTTGATGGTGTGCCCAATATAATGAAAGAAGCTCGAAGTCGAAGGTGCGATGTTATTTTTGATACATCAAGTGCATATGAATGTTTGACTGGCATCACAAAATGTTCTTACCATGGGGAGCAGGACGTAGTCACGGCATGCCAGGACACGGCACTGCAATACTATGGTCGAGGAAGGGAACTTTGTGAAACTTGCCGACATCCGCCAATAAGCGCATTACGAAAGTCTAATTGCCGTTTGGGGAGTATTCATTATACAAAAGAACTGCAGAGGAAATGCGAAGAATTTCCTCAAGTGAACAGCTACAAGTTGGGTATATATAAAAATCGCTTCTGCTTTGAGTGCAATGGCTTAACTGAATCTCCAAAACATTGTGAACCTCCAAAAAGGGGATCCACATACTCAGAATTCGCTACACTAGAGAATGTTATGCAGTCAGTTTTGTCAGGATCCCCAAAGAGGCTGAAGGTATAGAATCTCGTATATAGTGGATTATTTATATACAAGGGAATAAAAAATCATTTAAATTGTTATAAAAACGCTTTTTAAACTTTAAAGTTATATATCGTCTGTTATTTATACTTTGGGTTATATTAAACTCCATTCCAAGATTAGATGTAAAATAATTTATTCTCCTAAATTAATGACAGAATGGTCTTTCTGGCATCTGAGGTGGTCCTTTACAGTCATTTCAATTCGAGTCTTTGGTAAGCGTCTGCGGATGATAGGATTGGAGGAGAATTGTTTAAAAATAAACACAGAGCAAACGAAAAAAAGATAAAATTATGTTCGACAACATTTTTGCACAGTTGTCTACCAATTTTTTTTTAATAAACTAGACGTTTATCTTTGTTCGAAAGTTAGGAAAATGTGATGAAATATTTAAATTTGCGTATTTTATACGAATAGGAAGGTACGTTTCTGAATAAAGCCTGATTCATGATGATATCATTCATGTTCATGTAGGGAAAATTGGAATGACCTCTTTTGCTAACCTACCGACGGCACTTTTGACATTTTAAGATTTTCAAATGGTTGACAAGGTTTAATAATAGAGAGGAATGAGTTTTTTTTTTCAACCGTATATGCACAGTGTTTATCTGTTCACCACCCATGATAATATCATTACTCAGAAGATGTTTGTAGATGTAAATGTTTGCCAATTTGTATAACTGTTCGTTATATTCTAGTTTCATTTTAGGTTCCTAATTCAGAAGTAAACATTTCGGTTTATTTTTCTTAAGTCAGATGAAGTCGGACCTATCTGTTACCCAGGTCGAGTTTGGTCAGGAAGAAGATGCGAGGCCCTTTTAAACCACATGACAAGAGGAATTTACGTCCTGCAGATGATGCTAGACATTCTTGTGGAGAGACCAACAGATGATGACCTATACGAACAATTGAAGGAGATTACATCTGAAATCAATGCACATCTCAGTGTAGTTCTAGGGATTGATAATTTAGTAGTAAACCTTTTTCCTGTTGGAGTACAAAAGAAGCCAAATGATGACTATATAGTTAAAACGATACTTCGAATAATACATCCTGGTGGAGATTACAACAGAGATGAGTATGAGAGAAAACTTTTAAGTATTGGAAATTCGCTAGAAGAGTTCACAAGTGATAACTCTCAAACCATGAAAGAGTTCACTATAATTAAGATAACAGAGACGCTTTCTTTTTCGTTGAATGATGTAAGTATCGAGTTTTTACCGGATATTGTAAAGTATCTCAGAGGTGTGAAAGATTTTTATGAACAAATTTCACCACCAGTTAACTTTGTTTCTGAACTGTTATTCTGTGAGCACAAAGTTATTAGAGAAAGTTACTTATACGATGACAAGTCGATGTCCATTAAACTCCAAAGCGGTCTGTCCATCCCAGTAGGACTGTTTATAAGGTGGAATGGTAATATACAGGTCTGTAAGTCAAGTGACTTTGACAATATGTTAATCAATAATTCCTCACAGAATGACTTCAGTAATGTGTCTGTCATATTAAGATACATGTCCCTGGGGATATTTACCTGTTCATTCCTGGCACTTTCTATAATTATTCTGACACGGAAATCTCAATCTTTTTCACTACCTTACCTTAGTCGACTTACATTTTTCCTGATTGCTGATTTAGTTGTGTGTATTTTAAGTGAAGAATTAGTTCCGTCTGAGACAGTTTGTTGTGTCTACGGTGTTCTTCGCCATTATTCCACTCTTTTGGTCGGCTTATCTATATATTTTTATGGCAGATCGATAATTTCTGAAAACGAATCACTTGAAGAGAACAAAATCTCTGATGAGTTTTATTACAAAGTACTGATTATAGTTCCGATAATTATTATACTATTTAACTCTGTTATTATGAAAGTAACACAGAAAAGCTTTGGATACTGTAGAAATGTAGAAGTATGTTACCTTTACTTTGTTCCCTTTCTTTTATTATCTGTTTACCTTCCTTTATCGATAATAACGATCGGGCTTGGTATCCAATTTATTCAAACACTAATGAGTGGTTCTAAAGTGGGTTTCAAACTAGACAAGGTTTTATCCGTTCTGTGTTGTTTACTAGTTCTTTTTATGGCAGCTGGCTGGATATTTCAAGCACTCTTTATCTTGAAGTACATAAATGTACTTTTGTTACGGTATGTGGCAATTTTTTCACAGTCCATGATGACGTTAGTCTGTACATGTTACTATATCTATAAAACATCGAATGAACTGGACAAATCCAAACGGGAGAGTAAACAAACATAAATGAATCATACAGGGCAGATACTGTCAACAGACTTTTTTCTAGTAAATCAGAAATACGGGCATGTACTCAGTATATGCAGTCTCCTTAAATATAATTGAAAAAAGAGTTAATTCGTTAATATGTTATTTGAAAATGTAATATTGTAGGTACCTTACTTTACAAAAAAAGATAGAAAAGCGAACGACATTGTTGTTCTATCGCAAACCTTCCAGTCCAGATTCAAATGTTTAAATATTTTAATTTTATGAAAAATAAAAAGTTCCGATACAAGTTAAACTTTTGATTAAATGTTATTATCTGGAAAACAAAAAAATCCTGAATTTGGTTATTTTTCTTAACTATTGAGATTACTATAGAGATAAATGGATATCGGCAAATATCCTCCCACTTTGAAACAAAAATTATCCCCAAAAAAATCGAATGGGATTGAGAAGTAAGAATATATATGTCTTAATTATTGTTCTCTACAACTGTTACAAATTTTATGAGTTATTGTCATTGTAAACCTCAATTCAATTGAGAAATGTCTAGGCCTGATGAAAAAATTACTAATGCACATTAAATTACATGTGTATATGGGTGGGACGATACATAGATCTTGCGATACTATACGTATCTCGATACATTGACACGATACGATACGTATCTCGATATTATGATAAATTATAAAACTCTCCAAAAATTATATTTTATTTTAATTTTGTCTTGACATAAAATCAACATGATAAATTATGAAACTATTCAAAAGAATGAGATTTTTATTTCATTTTTGTTTTTGACATTAGATCAACTAATTATTCTATATCAATCATGTGTGTTTTGAAATTAATACTTGAAGTTCATGAAAGTGCGATGATGCCCAAAAGGCCCCGCACTGTATTGGAAGATTACTAACACTTTATAAAAACAATAATAAATGTACCTATTACGAAATTTCTATTGACAAGTTTGTTTGCATGTATTGTAGTTGTGTAGTTCATATTATTAATTGCTGAAAGTTTGTAGCCAAGTTGATATTTTAAAAAATCCAGTTTGTTATATCAAATCTTCCGGAAACAATAATTTTGTGCATAGCACGTTTTACATACTGAACTTTTCTTCTCCAATCTTCCGAGGCTGCTTAAAAGTTAACACGGTTTACCTTAATCAACCACTTATTATGCCCCCCTTCGAAGAAGGGAGGGCATATTGCTTTGCTGCTGTCTGTCGGTCCATTTAGTTTCCGTTCATTTTCTTCATAACTGTTGCACATACTGAAATGAAATTTGGTATACAGGTATATCAGATGAATATCTAGGTCAAGTTCTGTTTTGGATACGATTGCACTATAATTAGAGTTATGCCCCTTGGACTTAGAAAAATTCCAATAATTTGCAGTTTCTGTTCATTTTCTTTGGAGAGGTTGCACATATTGAAATGGAATTTAGTATACAAGTATATCAGATGAATTTCTAGGTCAAGTTCTGTTTTGGGTATGATTGCACATAATTGACAGAGTTATGCCCCTTGGACTTAGAAAAATTCCATATTTTTGCAGTTTCCGTTTATTTTCTTTGTAGAGGTTGAACATATTGAAATGTAATTTAGTATACAGGTATATCAGATAAATTTCTAGATCAAGTTCTGTTTTGGGTATGATTGCACCATAATTGATAGAGTTATACCCCTTGGACGTAGAAAAATTCCAATAATTTTCAGTTTCTGTTCATTTTCTTTGGAGAGGTTGCACATATTGAAATAGAATTTAGTATACAGATTAGTCAGATGAATATCTAGGATAAGTTCTGTTTAGGGTACGATCGCACCATAATTGACAGAGTTATGCCCCTTGGACTTAGAAAAATTCCATATTTTTGCAGTTTCCGTTCATTTTCTTTGGAGAGGTTTCACACATTGAAATGGAATTTTGTATACAGATTAGTCAGATGAATATCTAGGTCAACTTATGTTTTGGGTATAATCACACCATTTTTGACAGAGTTATGCCCTTTTGGACTTAAAAAAAATACCAATTTGTGGGGGAGGGGGGCATAAGTGTTTTACAAACATCCAGACCTGCCTACCCTTCCGCTTTTGGCGTAATTCTTCCGTTTTTTACCACAAAATTACGCTATTACGCCACTTTTATTAATTTTACGCTTTTAATATTTTGCTTAAAATTCCATTATGAACGTCTAAATTTAGAGTTAAAGTATGACATGCTGAAATAAAATGAAAAGTTCTTTTGAAAGTAATTCAAAGAGGACCAGTTCGATAATGAACGTAATATACCTAGTAGTTACATGTAAACTGGTATGACGAAGATTCGGAAGAAGACGAGAAGGCACTACTTACATTAACTATTAAACGATATTACAAAACGTACAGCTATTTCTATGCTCAATTAAGTTTATTTTAAAATTGCTTTGAACAAGATAGAGAAATGTGAGTGTTAAAAAAGATAAGAAACAATGTTATAATGTACAATTTGCTTTAACATTCAAACGCAAGCATTCGATTAAGTAATTTGATACAAATTGACCAAATGCTTCATTAAGGGTGTACGGCTGGATTGAGTTTGATATAGATTCGAAAAATTAAGAAAAGTTTAGTTCATGCAATCTTTGTTTAGTAATGTACAATTTCGGTTGTTTTGAAAGAAAATAAAGTGTTATAGTAAAACAATAAATAGGAAAACATGATTGATTACGCTTTAACCTCTGAAATTCCACCAAAACATGTACTGAAATTACACCCTTGCAATGTGAAGGGTAGGCAGGTCTGAACATCTCTTGTTAGTTCTTAAATGTGTTTTCAATACCAACACCATCTCTTCGCTTCGTACAAGCCGCCATTTCCCGAGAATTTGAATTTTCAATTTTTGTCTTTCGTGTATCGTTTCGTACCGATATTCTAATGCTTGTATCGTATTTTGAACTAAATTGGTGCAAAATTAAACAGAAAAATAGGATGTGCTTACTTCTTTACATATTTTATAGATGTAAGCTGTCCCTCTTGTCAGAATTGCATACAAGAATGATAAAAGTCAAGTATGCAGAATTCGGACTGGCCAAACAATTCTTAAATTACAGATATAATTACTCTGGTGTAAAACATAAGTTTTCTCAAGCTAAATATGCAACTATGATCTGGAAGCAAGATTGCTCTATAACCTGCTTAATTTACAACAAATTTCATAAAATGTGTACTTGTTATGCTGTGAAATATCTTACCAGAAAATAAATATATAGGAAAATTTAATGATTTGTGATTGGCTTAAGCTCATTTTGTACCTTATATGCCGTGTGTGATGTTTTGTAAACACATAATTCTTAAAATAAATAATGAAGCTAAAATATAAAAGGTTTTGTCTAATTTAATGAAATTGGAAAATTGGCTTGAAGAGGTAGTAGAGGAGGATATGAATTGCTACCCTTCAATGATGCATAAGAAAAACAAGAGGACCAGGGGCCACATGCTCACCTGAGCACTGGCTAAAAAATACAAAAAACATGGATCGACCACTGTTGTCCCACCCTACCCCTGAGCTGAGGATGCCTCAATATAAAAAAAGACCAATCATAGCTTTGTTGTTCTTGAGAAAAACAATTTTCACATATATTCCTATGTAAAACTTTGATCGACCATTGTGGCCCAACCCTAGTCCCATGGGTCATGATTTGAACAAACTTCATGATAAGTTTGATGATACTGGCATCATTGTTTCAAGCAAGATATGGAGCCATCACTGAGATAAAGTAGCCAGTTGTTGACACATTGATTATGGGCTTCATTAAAGGGCGTCCCTTATGTAAGCTGAAAGACTGTCTTTGGAAATGAAAATTTCCACTCTTGTTTATGTAGATGTATGTCCCATCCAAAACCAAAATCACCTGAATACCGGCTGGACTGCTTCCAAAAAGAGTTTAGGCAATCTGTCTTGTGTGATGCTGTATGACATCAGAACGTGTGATGTGCTGAAAACCCAGATTCTCTGACACAATTCTTCCTGCAAGAGCTGATTGCACAGAACTAATACTTCTTCTAATACTGGATTTTGACACATTGAAGAGTGTGGACAGAACTGATTAGATTCTCCTCCTCTGATTGTCATTAGAAATATCGCTAAATTTGTCCTAAGAGTTCTTACTGGAGTGAGCTGAACTTTTCCTTCAATGCATTGTAACAA